TATATATATATATGGATTGATTGATACTAGGCTACATCTCTAACCAAAATATTAACGGGTTGTGAAAGTGAACGCCGGTGAATGTACTATTTTCATTGAGTGTCAAAGAAGCGAAACACGAAAATTGACCACACAGGAGGTACATGGTACATCAATCATTGTTTTATTGTTAAAAGTTCGTTGTGAATTGTCGGAGGGCGCATTACTAACATTATTCAGACTTTAAAATCATTGGCACACGTTCAACCAAACTTTGTCGCTAAGTACACTGGAAATAATTACAGTGGCGATTCTACGGGGTGTTCCTAATCGCCCCACCCCCTTTAAAAATCACGGTCAATTATAAAAAAAATAAATACCTCAAATTATCTTATTTTGAGAGCAGATTCCCTCACCTAATCATCGTGTCTTGCCACTTCACCTTTCTTACCATAAGCCCTCCTCCAACCCATTCCAAGACTAGTAGATACGCCTCTGAATTATATCCCGTGTCACTCGGTGATTTGTAACGCCAGTAGTGGAATAAAAAATAACATATTGGAATGGATTGATTTTAAACATTTCGCTGATTTAGGTCGATATTTAGGGGCCTACATGCTGTTCGACAAGACGACAATTTAATATCTTGGTGGTTTTGACGGTGAAGGAAAATGCCCATCATTTTCTAATGCACACATTATAGGCCTAAACGCAAATGGTTAATACAATCAACACATAAACATTAACTACAGTTTAGTCATTTAGATCGCATTTTCAAGACAAATTAACGTTTGTCTTATCATTATTTTCAATGCTTCAGTGGTTTTTGTTGAAATAACTTCATTCTAGTTCATTGTCGACGACTGTTTCGCCAACCGAGCCAGGTCCAAATCCAATGTTCTGGAAGCAAAAATACATAACGCCAAAATGGTAATTAGATCAAACAATAAACCAATCAAATGGTTCTATCAATCAAAACCCAATGTATCTATCTATATATCAACAATCATTCAATAATCAGTCAATAGAATAGTACCAAAATAATTCACCAAGTTTTATCTTTATCAGATGTATTTTAAGTTTTAGATTGCGAATGATGTTAACGGAGATATAAAGCTTTCAGTGGCGGATCCTAGAATATGAAATAGAGGGGCTCGTGGAGGGACCACCTCAGCCCTACCATGGTTGGGGATGAGGTAACAAAATTTATGATTTCGGTACCTCTAGCTGGCCGGAGATGGCAATCTCAACCTTTTTTTTTTCCAATTTTGTTTATGATTTGGAAAAATGTTATCTATATCTAAATGTATTTTTAGTTTTAGATTGTAAATGATGTTACCGGAGATATAATGCTTAAAAAGGTATCGAGACACCATACAATCAGTGGCGGATCTAAGAATTCGTACCTCTAGATGGCCGGGTGGGGGTGTGGGGGAAGGGGGTTGGCGGTTGGTCCCTATTGGGACCAGCCACTGATAGTACTTAAACTGAGCTAATTTAAAACGATTTGTATAATATGTGTCGTAACCTACTTTTCTTTGGCGGTTCTTCACACGTTTCTCCATCCGCGCATTTACAGATGAATGAGTTCGAAGACAACCCCACCGGTCTCGGAAGACACACTTCGTTTTCTGAACAGCTACCACACAAATTATCGAAGTCTACCAAGAAAAAAAGTGTTGGAGATTACTTCAATTACAGTAGAGAGTTTACTATACTAAATTACGGTACATGTTGTAAATACTGTTATCTTTCGATACCAAATTATATAAGACCGGTTCTGTCACATCAAGTCTAAGGAATAAGTCATGAGTAAGACTTACTACACCCGAATATCTGTCTAATATTGTATCTGATAACAGTATCAGAATCGGGTGCATGTTAGTATTAGCGAGGTCTATCTTTGGAGTGCTTCAATCAGGCGAAAAACGGAACTTACTTGGTTGTCGAAGTGGGTGCACAATTGTCATGCCTCTGGAAATGGTCTCATTCATCCTGTATATAACTGCAGACGATTCTGGATCAAGTTTGTTTGCTGTCACCACTGCATTATATATCCAATCAGTCCAATACAGTTCATCTTCAAAAATTGCTAACGCAAATGGGTGACGAATAAACGAAGACGAGGCCAGGACCGTTACTAGGTTTCCGCCAAGTAAATCACTTGATTGGAGAATTTCGAGACTGGCATCAACCCAGTAAAGTGTAAATGTCGGGAAGTCGATTGTCAGCCCATTAGGCCAAATAAGGTCGCTAACGAGAACCTGACGACCCGAACCGTCCATTCCCGCTTTTTCGACAACACCGGTGCCCCAGTCTGTCCAGAAAATATACCTATAGCAACACAAAAATTACAAGAATTGTTTAGTGAAGAAAGCTAAATCAAGCAGGAGAAAACAGCCTACAAATATTTTAGGTTCCACATTGTGGAAAAATCGATATAGGGGTGGCAGAAGGATTTACCCAATTCCTGGATGTACAGCTATTGCTCTTGGTTTATCCAAGTTCTCGGACACCACTGTGACCAGTTTCAAAGTATCAAGGTTCACAGCATTAATGGCCGGTCTTTTAGTTTCTGTAAAGTACATATTTTTGTGGACCCAATCGACGGCAATGCCCTCACTCTCACTTATGTTTCTTGCTACGACTTCTGGCTCCGACTCCAATGCTAGGTCCAGTGGTGTTCTTTAATAATGGAGGGAAAAAACATTAATTAAAGAAAGACGAAAAAGTAACATCAACAGCATAAATAACAACAAAATTGTAATGGCAACGTAAACGCAATGGTATTCTCAAAAGCCATGGCAACAATAACAATGACAAAGACAATAATAACAAGAACCAATAAACAAAAGCCAGTAAACAAGTAACAAGTTATAAGTGATAATCAGCAAACAGTAAACAACAACAAACATACCGTCACTGTCAAACTTATGTGTTTGCAGGAAAGTGCGAAATTCTAGACTTTATTTTAATTGATTGGTAGTGAGGCCTATGGCACTCAGAAAAGTTCCATTTTGGTTTGTTCGCTGATATTCTAATTTCATTTTCCCACACATATTTTTTACAAGTTTTGAGAAATGGTTTATAAACAAAAATAAATAAAATATATATCATACCGAAATATCATTTCCAGGGTGACGTCACTCCAGTATAAGTATTTCTTTTCCAAATCATAGTCAATAGCAACAATACTTCCGTTAAATGTTCTTTCTTTCTCAGACTCCCCGATAAAAGTATCATCATCAAGTATTGGATATGAGACTATAGAATTTAGCCGCTCAACAATCAATAAGATTGCATTTATGTCACTTTCGGCAACACAGGAACGACCATTACTGGTCAACCGATATCCGATTGAACATTTACATTCGACTTCGCCTGTGGAATCATCACACCAATGGCTGCACGATTCAACGAGTTCTCCACATGACGTAACTTGGTCGCATGATTTTCCATCATCGTTTAATTTGAAGCCGAATGAACACTGGCAGGTGGAGTCCACACATTTGTCAGCACATCCGCCATTGTTTTCTTCACACAAATCTTTAAGGAAACATTTAAATTGAATGTCAGTTTTACATACGAATATTATGAATATATTTAATAAATATATGCAAGACTTCTTATTTAACGGACCCATGTCACTGACATGCGTAATACGACGAATACAACTCTGCACTCTGTGAGCACTAGACGACGCGACGCCGTCTGCTGTTTGTCGTTGACAGTTTGTACGGATCGACATTAAAACTTGCATCGGCCGACGACGGTCAGGAGCGGTGGAGAGGGGCAGTGACTGGCTTTAGATGTGTAATCATTACGCACTCGAATAACGATAATTTTATTTTAATGTATAAATTCCTAATTTTTTGTGAGCTTTTTGGTTTCTTCGTTTTGATTGGAAATATTAAATTTTACCTTGTATCTTGTGATTGTCGATTTATATTGTCGAACCCCTGGCTGTCGGTAAATTACTGGAGCCACTACGGTACTCCTCAGCGATGGTATTTAACGAACTGTTAAACTTTAACATATTTGACACAAAGTAACATATGCAATTTTTTTAGGCTTTCATCTTATAACTCTTCTAAATTAAATACAATTTTTGTTATCGTACCAATCACTGTGTCTTCACATTTTTCACCGTCTGCACATCCGCAGACAAATGGTGACAACGATGTGTTGACTGGGGTAGGAAGGCAGATACTGTTTTCGGAACAATTTCCACATACATTTTCAAATTCTAAAGTGCAAAAAATAAGTAAAGAAAACGTTAAATATGATTGATCTATGTTGTCATTATTGTAATGATAATAACTGCAGATATATTTAAAAGCTATAGGAATGCACCACAACATTACTGCAAGAACGGTTAATGGACATTACATTATATATATATATATATATATATATATATATACAATTTATGTATATAATTATATTAATATTAGGTAAGTGCCTCCACAAGCAGCGGTAGTACTCAAATATTATAATGAATATTAACACACACACACACACACACCCACACACACATGTATATATAACACACACACACACACACACCCACCCACACACATATATATTTATATATATATACACACATATATTTTATATATACATGTATGTATATATATATATATATACATACATGTATATACATAC